GCCTGTGCTCTCTCTAAAATACAGTATTTTACTATATGTGCTGCCAAAGCAAGCACTAAAATACAGTATTTTAAAAAACCACAATTTTAATAATTCATATAAAAGATATTAAAGCCTTTCCAGTTATTCTAGTTCTATCAACCCACTACTATATAGATTATTCCCTTTACAAACTATTTTGAAGTTTCCTTCTGATCTGTAATTATTTTTAAATTGAGAGTATGAAAAAAAAATTTGCAAATCATACACTAATGTGGGTCTAGTAACCAGAATATACTCTTACATCTCAACAATAAAAAGACAACTCAATTTTAAAATGAGTTAGGGATCTGAATACACATTTCTCCAAAGAAGATACGCAAATGGCCAATAAGCATGTGAAAGAATGCTCAACATCACTGGGGTCATCAGGGAAATGCAAATAAAAACCCACAATGAGATACCACTTCAGACCTACCCACTAAAATAACTATAATCAAAAAGACAGACAATAACAAGTGTTAGCAAGGGGGTAGAGAAAATGGAATCCTCATACACTGCTCGTGGGAATATAAAATACTGCATCTGCTTTGGAAAACAGTTTGGCAGTTCCTCAAAAAGTTAAAACAGTTATCATGTGATCCAGCAATTTCACTCTTAGGTACATACCCAAGAAAAGTGAAAACAAATGTTCATAGCAACATAATTCACAACAGGCAAAACGGGGAAACAGTCCAAATGCACACCAACTGATGGATAAACAAAACATAGTATGCCTATACAATGCAATATTATTTAGCCACAGAAAACACTAAGTGCTACAACACGGATGAATCTTGAAAACATGCTAAGAAGGCAGACACAAAAGACCATATATTGTATGATTACATTTATATGAAATACCCAAGATTGACAAATCCACAGAAATAAAGACTGGGGATGCCAATGGCTGGGTCGCAGATGGAATGGGAAATGACTGCTAATGGGTTTGGAGTTTCTTTTTCGGGTAATGGAAGTGTTCTGGAATTACATAGTGATATTTGAACAATGTAGCGAATTAACTAAAATTACTGAATTGTATATTTTAAAAGGGTGAATTTTATGGTATGTAAATTGTATTTCAATTGAAAAAAAAAATTCAGGGTAAGGACCACTGTACTTGGGATACTTCCTGCATACAAGAGACAATAAAATGAGCTAATAGTTCACACTGGAATTATCCCCAAAACAATGTGCAACTGTAAGGAGTAGTAAAAGAATTTTTTAAATATTCGCAAATAGAGTAGATAATCTGGAGGGTAGTGACGTTAAGTTTTTAACCTGAAACTACAAAAACAACAGCTTTGTTTATTCACATCTACCGAATATCCAGATTCCATTCAGCAGATGGGTAGACATAAAGGAAGTAAGAAGAGAGAAGTTCTGAGGCATATCAAAACAAATCAAACCCCTTTGCTGAGCTTCAGAGCCAGTTTGCAAACCAGGAAAAATGAAAATAATAAATAATGAAAACCAATCTCATTATTTAACACATACTTTTATTTGCCACAAAGACACTTTTCAACTGTTTCCAAATACCAAATGCGACGTCTAAGGATGAAAATTTGTCAATACTAAGGGTGTTCAAAGAATACATATGCCACTGATTTTAGGCCATTCCAAAAATAGGTTTTGTGCAATGGAATATAGTATAGCCTCCAATGAGTTTACTTAAAAGAGACACTGTTTTGGATAACAGCATCATTCCTGTCAAGATGATTTAAAAAACAATATGTGTCATTGTTGAGTTCCACAATGAAATTGTCAAATAAAGGAATCCTCCCCTGAGCTAAGGAGAGAACTGCACTGTAAACCCCAAGGTGACTAACAAAAAGACCCCACTTTTTAACCTGCATTAGAAAATCCTACAACCTATCTTTGCAAACCTATCATCTATACATCCCCTACATGAATCATGATTTGCAGTTTAAACAGACTTAAACAGTTTCAACCCATTCTTGTCCTTTGCCACTTTTGCCTGTTTCTCACGACAGAAATGCCTCTTCCGTATTCATCAAAATGAAGCAAAAATCTGCCACCTTCTTCATGAAGCTTTCCTACATCATTTCAAGAAATGTCTTTCACTTCTAAGCACTCCTAGCACTCGCTTGCACCATGGTATGGCACCTTTTGCCTTGTACTATTATTGAATACACTATATCTTCTCTAAGTACTAAAAGTTCCTGAAGGTTAGGGTAGCCTTCTCTTTTGTCCGCCCACAGTGCCAGGTTCAAATTTAAATGAAGTACTTACCTAACTGCCTTTCATTTCTAAAAACAACACTAATACAAGCAGCTAAGTAATTAGGTGGGTGCTCAGAAGTGGCAAGTCTCCAGACACTGAACATCTAATTCTCACTGAAAGAAATTACAGGCCATCCAGTATAGCCCATAAGGCTAAAATTTAAAAAAAAAAAAAAAAAAAAAAAAGGTGGGCGCCTGGGTGGCTCAGTTGGTTAAGCAAACTGCCTTCAGCTCAGGTCATGATCCTGGAGTCCCTGGATCGAGTCCCGCATCAGGCTCTCGGCTCTGCAGGGAGTCTGCTTCTCCCCCTGACCCCAACCCCTCTCAAGAGCTCTCGCTCATTCTCTCTCTATAAAGAAAATATTAAAAACTTAAAAAAAAAAAAGGTTATTCAGATGCTTCCTAGAATTGCTCCGGCTACAAGCACATTTGAGGGAATCAGGGCAATTTGAAAAAACTCTAAGTCAAAAAGACTTACTATGCTCTCCTTTTCCAACCAAGCTGAGTAACCTAAAATCAACACAACTTTCCCTACATTGGGAAGAGCTTTTTGAGAATACAGCAAGAATGAGCAGCAGCCAAGCAATAGGTTACATCACACCAAGCAGCAGAGAGAACTTCGACCTTCCTGGAATATGGACATAGTCCCAGAGGCCACCTCAATAATCACCTGGGTACCAAATATCCATCTTGATCATAATCACTGTCTGAAAGTGCTACTGACTCCAATTCAACTAAACATAATAATGGAAACACAAACACCTCCACAATCCTGATGTACCCCACCACACAGTCCCCCCAAACAGAATTAGATTTTGGAAATGAGAATTCATTTTTAATCCAAGACTGCTATAAATTAAATATCATTTAGAAACCAAATGACCCTAAAGTACTAAGATAATCAGTCAACAGAATGAAATAGAAGGTTAACTGTTCAGAACCAATCTCATTAAAATAAACGAGGAATTATGACGTTTGCTAGTGACAACATAAAAGTTGCCTTTGGCATTATACGAGAATCAATCACCGCTAGCCTTTTTAAGTTTAGAAAGTTAACACTACTATTAATTTACTTAGAACTCTCCTCTTAAAAGAAATTACATATAACAAAAGAGAAAATAAGAAACCCAACTGATTTTAGCTGTGAGACTATCAACTATGAATTACTGCTCTGCACTCTGGACTTTAAATATCTCCTGAACTTTACTACCTTCAAAGTGGAAATTTGGGAGTGAAAAGTATGCTTTAAGGAAACTGATGACCAGATTAAAATCCCCCTTCAAAAAAAACAATCAAAATTTGATATTCAATTCGGTTATTTACAGAATTTTGTTAGTCATTAAGGGAAAAGAAAAAAAAAACACAACCTTGTCAAGCAGCAATAAGTAACCACTAATACTAAAATGACTGATAAAAAGGGGGCCTGAGGCAGAAGCCAAGGATTCAAAACAAACACAATTAGAATAAGATAAACAACTCATTAAAACCATCTAAAGTAACAGTAACTTAGGAAAGCTACTGGGTTATAGTCAATTTCAAAACCTTTTTAAAACTAAAAAGCCCCTACCAAAAAAACCCAATCTCGAAAAAAGTGAAACAAATACAAGAACTAAAAATTCTTCAAAATAATTTCAGGATTTTTATATTCATAATTCTGAAAACTCATTAATTTCACACTTCTCAAAACCTGCATGCCTTCATAAACTTTCATATGATGGTTACAACTAATAATTCAAAAAGAGCTTAATCTGATGTAACATTTTAGCAAATGTAGGATAAATTTGAAAAAATACAGAGACAGAGTAAATGATAACTGATGGCCAAAAGGCTTTCTGGAGGGCAGAGCTGGGCTTGGATTGGCAGGAGGGAAATTTTAAAATTTATCCACAAGTCAACTTACACCAAAAAATTGATTCGTGCCTTTACTACTTACACATGCATGTTTTTAAAAAATGTGCTTTTAACCTGTGGACAACCAAAGTGATATCAGACACCATAAAGCATTGTTGCCTATTTTAATTTTGATGTTACAGCCTAAATCCTTAACAAAATTCACATATATCTTCATAATGAAACACTGCAGGAATGGAAAGGCTCATATTCTCTATGTAAAGGTTACCTTATGTTTCACTTAAAGTTTCTGTTTTGCTTTTTAATCTATTACAGAAAACATCTCTTGTGGGACATTGTAAAGGGCATACCCTCCTGTCAAGCCAGAAAGCTCAAACACAAAGACACTGAGCTAACCAAGTGCTGTAATTCTTCCAAACTGAGCCTCTCCACACCCCCTCCACCCTTCCCCCCAACAGATATGTCTATTAAATCAGTGTCTGTTCTCCCCCTCGCACAACAAAGAGAACTTCTCACCGCATGAAATTGCCGCTGAATGGACACCAGAAAGCAGGATTTGCATAATTCCTTCCAACGAAACCCTGTCGGGAAGGAGGGGATGAGGGGCCCAAGCGTACGGATAGAATCTCCTAGATTCTGCTGGGGAAGACCTGGTTCCCAAGAATATTCCCCACGGGGGGAGAAGGGGAGAAAGGGCTGGAATTCTGCGCCTCCCCGAAGACTGGGTCTGGGGGACGGAGGAGCACGAGAAAGCATTTCCCCACACAGCAGCAGCACCAAAGCAAAGATGGGGAAATAACAATGCTGGAGGACAGGAGAGTCAGACACAAGGATGGACTGGGGCTAGGGGGCGGCGGGCGGAGCGGAGACACCACACGGGCCACTTACTTTTTGGAGGGGGGTTAAATATATGAGTTAAGCCCTTATGGTCCCGCCGGCCGCCGCACAGAGGGAAACGGGACCTTGGGAGAGAAAAACAGACAAAACACACAGTGTGAGAGGCGCAGCTCGGCCGCCCGGCCCCTCCTGGGGCGCCCCCGTGCACACTCCCTCCTGCCCGTGGGGAAAAAGCCACCCGAGGCCCGAGAGGCTGGGGGTTGGGGGGGGCGAGGCTCTCGGCGAGGCCACGGCTCCGGCACATACCCGGGGAGGGGACAAGAGCGACTCCCGCTCCGGCTTCTCGGTCGGACCCAGTTCCACCCCCCTTCCTCCCCGCCGCGCACACACCGAACACAAATACACACACACCGACCCGAGCGTCGAGGATTAACTCCCCGGCCGCCGCCACCGCCGCCGCCCGCAGAGGAAGTGCAGCCGCTGCCCCCCGCGGCCATGACACCCTACTTGGCTCGGTCAGGCGGACCCGGGGCCTGTGACAGCTCCGGCTCCCTCCGCCCCCATCTCCACCTCACGCCTCGCACACGCCCGAGAGCCGGGCGCCCGCCCGCCCGCCGCCGCGCGTGCACGCGGGGACTGGGGCGCGCGCCGCCGCGCGTGGGGGAGGGGAGGCGCGGGAGGAGGGAAGGCGCCGGGCAGAGCGGAGGAAGGGGCTGAGCACGCCTCCCACCCCCGTGCCCGGCTCCGCGGAACCGGAGGCGGCGCCCCCGGTCAAGTGGCAGCGCCGCGGGGCGAGTCTCCACAATAAGCCGGCGGCGGCGCCGGGCGGCCGGGCCGGGAGGGGGGGGAAGCGGGGGAGGGAAGGGGCACGCGCTCCCGCCCGAGAGCCCGCCCCGGGGAAGGCGCGCGGAGGGGAGGGGCCGACGCGCGTGCTCAAGCCCGAGCCGGGGAGAGCCCGCCCGGAGGTCGCGCGCGCCCGCACTCCGGGGGGTGGGGGAGGGGGACGCCCGAGCCAAGGAGGGCGGGCGGGCCGGAGCAGCAATTGCCTCTGCCCCGGCTCCCTCCCTGGTCCAGGGCAGCCGGTGGCGGGGCGGCCCGAGGGCCGGAAGCGGCCGGGGGAGTGTCTCACCTACACAGTGAATGAGCTTGTGGCGCCACGAGTCCAGTTCTTGCCGAAAGCCGCGTCTCTCAACGGAGCATTGCTGCCGCCTGCACACCCTCGCCATCTTCTGCCGCCCGCCCGGCCCTGCCTCCGCCGCGGCCCCGCGCACGCCCAGCCGCGTCGCCCGGGGCCGCGCACGCACCCGCGGCCTGGGCGTCGCGCCTCCCGCCGGGGGCGGCGCGGGGGCAGGGCTGGCCTCACCTCGCGGTGGCCCCGGCGTGGCCCTGGGGGCTGCCTGGGCGTGCGTCGGCCCCGCGCTCGGCGAGGCGAGGCCGCGCGACTGCGGTCCCCGTGTTTCTTGGCCGCGGCCAACGCCAGCTCTGGCCGCCGGGAAGGCGTCTTCGCCGGGCAGGAGCTCGCCCCGACCCCCGATCCTGCGCCGACTTCGCAAGGTGCCCCAAGGCCACCGCTGCCCCTTCCTCTCCCTTCCCGGGGCTTTTTGTTTCTTAAACTAGCCCCATTTATCACTTCTAACTTGCCTATCGCCCCACACCAACTGTTGCGAGTTCCGTGGTAACTGCTTCTCTGAACTCAGCCGGAACTGCTCCTTTCGGGAGACTGTTTAAGAAACAGTTAATAAATGCCCGGATGCCCGTGGAGGCACTAAGCCCCAAAGTTTTAAAAAACCGAGGGTATAGTTTATTAAGTCATTGGAAGACTTGGCCAACGTTCGTAAACCCAGTAAAAATGGAATCAAGCGTTTTAGGTAGAAAAACTAGGTTTCTACTAAAAAGGCTGATCATAGGCAAAATTCTCAAGGTGGCATATACGGAACCCCTCCTGTGTGTGTAGAAAAAGGTTTAAGAAAATTATGCGAAAGTGAGAGTGGTATTTCAAAAGAAGTCTAAATTAACAATACTTAAAGCAGAGTGTTGGAAAATGGCATAATTCCATATTTCAGGAAAGACTCGAGATTCTCATTTCCAATGACGAAAGGAATTTTCAGGTGAAAACCTGGGGTAATTAAACCACCCTGCGTAGGGCACTACCTGTTCCATTTAAACATTATTCTGAGCTTAATTACCTGACTGCTATTTGGGAGAGAAAGAGAAAATGGAACGAAAGGAGAAAGCGGGGGGGGGGGGGCGCAGAATACAAAAGAAAAAAATGGAAAATAGATCCTTCTTTAGTACCCTAGGGTTCTGGCCTCTTCCTCACCTTTGGGGTTTAAGTTTAAGGACGGTGCATTCCTGCTCTGCTTTTAAATATTTAAATTTAAATGTGAAGACTTAATTTTAATTACTGTAGTAGGTAAAACGTCATTAAATACTTGCAGGCAAGAATCCCATTGGTGTATTGATTTCTGTCTTTTCAAAGTAGTGGTCATTGTCTCTCAACCAGGCACTTGTGGAATGCCCTGTCTATCCATAAAGAGATGGACTGGGTGGGCCTCTTGGGTAGAACAGGTTTGAAATGTTTGAGTAGAAAGGCACCTCTGCTCCCCAAATCTAACACCAGTGATTATTCCACAATTCTCAGAAGTCCACGATATTTCGCCTGCTAAAAAGAACTGTCAAATGAACAAACTGTTACGTCTGCAAGTATTGAATTTCTGTGTACACAAAACTATCCTGAGTAGCGAGGGGAAAGGACAAACGTGATGGCGGGACATCTTGTATCTTCAATCTGAATCTTCTTTTCTTTGCCGCTAGGTGGTAGGTTTGAGTCTTGTAGCTTTTAACCAAGTTTCTATGGTTTTTGGAGGAAGTATGCTTCATAGAGTTTCAAATAAATGAACAACATGTAACTTTAAAATGAGTTAATAAATGTGTTTTCCAATTACCCATATAATCTGCTTGAAATGATCAAGCCAAGGGTAATACTTCCGCAACATAATCTCTTAAAGAGTCTCAGACATGTAGATTAAGAGGATCCCAGAGACTTCAGAGATTGACTCAAATTTGAAGCATGGAATTACAAGCCCAGACAAGTAAAGTGACATGATGAAGGTTGCATAGCTGCTCAGTAGAAAGAGGGCAACAAAAGCCAGAAGCCAGATTTCCCAGTTCCCAATTCAATGTTATTTCCATTATTCTACTTCGAATTACAATTATTGTTTCACTTATTTTAATTTGGGAACCAATATATAGTTGATCTCTCACAAGGTTTATTTGGAAGAAAGGATGAAGGGACAATAGTAATATCTATCATTCATTGAGTATCTACTATATGTCTAACATTGCAACTTTATTTCATTCCATCTGAATAACAATGCCAAAAAGGAGGTAAGATTTTTACCGACTTTTTACATTTTCCAGATTAGAGATTCAAGACTCAGAGGAGTTAAGTGCCTTTGTCCAAGGCCACAAAGTTACCAAATGGCAAAACCAGAATTCTAAGATCTCTCTGACTCCAAAACCCTCTAATTGTCCTGCAAGTAGAAGCAGGACTCTGCACGCAGAGGATTCATTTAATTCCATGTAAGAGGTTATGTTCCATTGCACAGTCGAGCAGTTTGACAAAAATGTTGAATTCCTATCATGTGTCAGGCAGTATCCCCGGCACTTAGACACGTAGATATCTAAGACATAATTTCTGACCTCTAACTCTTTTGGCTACCCTGGAATAGGATCTTAGCTGTGAGCTCTTTCCCACTCTGGGGAAGATTGAGCAATACAACACAGTGGCTAAAGAGTAGAATCTGAAGACACAGAGAGATTGATTAGAATCTTTGTTCCATCCCTTAGAACCTGTGTGGCCTTGACAAATTAACTTTCCTGGTCATCAGTTTCCTCGTGCGACAAAGAGGATAATAGTCTACAAAATGGAGATTGTGTGAAGATGAAATGAAACAATCATGGACAGTGGCTGTCAAATTGTTAGCATGAAATGACTATCAGTTCTCATGATTAGGCTCCCATCTGCTTGTCCAGTCTGCAGGGTGACAGGAAACCACGATGCTTGTACAGTTTGGGATGAATATGTAACATCATGAAGAAATAACAGCAATGACCTTGGCCTTTGAAAACAACATTCCCTAAGTCACATTCTATGTTTCTTACAATGGGCAGATGATAGGGAAAAACGGAGCACAGAAAATGACAATCAGAGAGTGGGGATAGCCACCGTGAACCATAGGACTGGTTGGTCAGGATTATATCAAGTTGGCATCTGATTAGTTGGAAGTGGCATATCATATGGGAAAGGACGTCAGAGAAATGGGAGGATGAAATGGATTGGAGCCTTTTTAAGAAAGAAGTCTCCTGGGGCGCCTGGGTGGCTCAGTTGGTAAGGCAACTGCCTTTGGCTAGGGTCATGATCCTGGAGTCCCGGGATCCAGTCCCGCATCAGGCTCCCTGCTCGGCGGGGAGTCTGCTTCTCCCTCTGACCCTCCCCGCTCTCATGCTCTCTCTCTCTATCTCATTCTCTCAAATAAATAAATAAAATCTTTAAAAAAAAAAAAGACTGGAGATGTAAACTAAAAAAAAAAAAAGAAAGACGTCTCCTGATGGGAGACTTCTCATGAATTCCAATAAGTGACACTTTTAAAAGCACTTTTCATGGATTATGTCTTTTATTCCTTACAACAACCCAAGTAAGCATCCCTATTTGATAACAGAGCACAGACAGGCTAAGTAATTTGCCTAACTAGAGGTTATGGTAGGTTTGGATTCAAATTGAGGCAATCTGGGGTGCCTGGGTGGCTCAGTCGATTAAGCATCTGCCTTCAACTCGGGTCATGATCCCAGAGTCCTGGGATCGAACCCCAAATCTGGTTCCCTGCTTAGCAGGGAGTCTGCTTCTCCCTCTGCCCCTCCCCCTGCTCATGCTCTCTCTCTCTAATACATAAATAAAATCTTAAAAAAAGAAACAACCCAGGCAATATGGCTGCAGAGGCAGCTCTTTAATCTTTGCATTATTTTGCTTCCCGTACTGCAGGGAACATGGGACTTAGAGTGAGAGACAAGACCTAGCCGACAGAAGGGAAGCTGGGACACTTGGTGGAACTGCTCCTTTAGGGGCTCTTCGTGCTTTAGTAAAAGACTTTCCAAGTTCCTCTCTTTTCAGTCTGCCTGTGTGCCCAGAAAACTTTATGGCTTTACTTTATGTTATGTGTGTAAGTGACACATTTTTTTTTTAAAGTTGTTTTGAGATATATTTCACACACTATAAAATTTACCTGTCAGTGGTTTTTACTGTATTTACAGAGTTGTGCAACAATCACCACAATCACTATTAGAACATTTTCATCAGCCCCAAAGAAACCCCATGTATATTAGCAGTTACTCCCCATTCCCTCCTTTCCTCAAACCCTGGCAGCAACAAATCTACTTTCTATGTCTGTGAATTTTCTTCTTCTGGACATTTCAGGTAAATTGAATCATACAACTGGTGGTCTTTTGTGACTGGTTGCTTTCACTGAGCACAATGTTTGCAAGGTTCATCTACGTTGTAGTATGTATCAAAGCTTACTTCCTTTTCATTGTCAAATAATATTTCATCATATGGATATACAGCATTTTGTTTATCCATTCCAGCTGATGGATACTTGATTGATTTCATTTTTTGGCTATTATAGATGATGCTGTAATGAATATTTGTAAACAAGTTTTTGTGTGAATGTGTGTTTTCATGTTCGTTTTAAATATGAATATACATATGTATCCTATTTTGAAATAGTTTCATATTATAGAAAAGTTGCAAGAACTCCTATATTCCCATCTCACAAATGCCCCAATTGTTAATATCTTATCACATCTGCTTTTGGTCTCTATGTATCTGTATATATGGTTTTGTTCTTGTTGTTGAGTCTTTTTATGAACAATCTGATAGAAAACTACAGACTTGACTCCTATCATCCCTAAGTATCCAGTGTGAATGTCGATAAAGCAAAGACACTTTCCTTCATAACCATGATATAACCCTCCATCACATCAGGAGATCAACACTGATACAATACAGGCCCCATTAAAATTTCACTCTCTGTTAAAAACAATGTCTCTTTTCCTTTTCTGGTCCAGAATCCCATCCAGGAAGTTACACTGAATTTAATTGCATGTATTCTCAGTCTCTTTGATTTGGGTACAATTCCTAAGTCTTTTCTTGTTTTGTTCTGTTTTTTTTATGACCTTGACAGTCCTAAAAAGAAC